ATCACAAAAGGTAAACTTATCATCAAACCGCTCATCGCTGTGACGGATGTAATCCTGTTAAGAACTCGACCATTAATGATGAAGCACTTGACGCATTTTATGGCTTTATTATTTTCTGGATTCTTCAAGAGTTGATGGTTGATTGACACACTTCAATCATTTAACCATCAATGAAAACGAGTTTGATCATCTTCGCTGGTTCTATCTTTCCTTCAGTCTGAGGTTTAGGACAAAAGCAGCAGTTCTTGAATGAATTCTTTGAAATTTAATTTCAACAATGATATCAGATAGTTTCAGCAATCCCAATCCTGGTGTGATTATTAATCAACCGAATGGTTCGAATGTTTATGAGGGAGTTCGTGTTGACTATCGAGGCAATGATGTAACTCCGGAAAATTTCTTAGCGATCCTCCAAGGAGATATGAAATCTGTGAGAGGCGGCAGCGGGCGTGTAATTGCAAGTTCAGCAAGTGATCATATTTTCGTTTATTTCGTCGATCATGGAGCGACGGGCTTGATTCAGTTTCCCAACTCGATTGTATGTGCCTCTTTTTAAACATTTTTCAAAAAATGCCTCAAAGTTTCCGATTTTGAAGTTTTCTGTCTCATCCATTCAGGAAATAGTCAGACAGTAAGATAAAACTGGTTGCTCAACATAGCGATTCTCAGTTTGTGATGACCAGGAAACTTTAGGAATGAATTAGATTAATTGAGAAACATACGTTAGCGATTAATATGCGTTATTTAAAAAATGAAACGAGTTTGGAGTGAGGCGATAATGTTTACATTTATCAACGAACATTCCTCGTACCCATAGCGCCGATTGGGGGTTCCTTTCAGCTTACGTATTAGTATTACACGATGTGTGAAGAATTTATCGAATATACATAGAATTATCGCCACTAAATGCACAAACACATGCATGCACATGAAAGGCCGCTGTCAATTAACAAAGTTTTTAGTTAAGAAAAACTCTAGGATCGAGATAATCAGCTCTTTTTCTTCGACATCTGGCAATACTCTGAAAATTGCGTTTAGATGAAGAGCGAATTTTCAGCTGACGGTTAAGCAGCTGAACGATGCTCTTCGTTTGATGCATGCAAAGCATCAGTATAAGCGAGTTGTATTCTTTATGGAGGCATGCGAGGGTGGTTCCATGTTCAACAATATTCTGCCAAAAAACATCAACGGTAATTTCTGAACTTTTGCATTTATGCAGCTTAAAACAAGTGTTGTTTTGAACCAGTTTTATTGATTCATTTAATACCATTATATTCTATCTTACTGTTCAGCTTTTAGTTTATGCAGTAACATCTGCAAATGAAAAAGAAAGTGCGTGGGCATGCTATTGTGATAATGATCGTGAGGGTTTACCGTGTTTGGGTGACGTTTTCTCAGTAAGTTGGATGGGTAATGCTGACAGTGTAAGTGCATTCGTCTAATAATTCTATGCCTCTTGAATCGAACTGATATGAAGTTTGGATGCAGTAACCATGAAAACGATAGCAGATGTTATGGAAATGATTATAAGGCAAATAGATTTTATACCAAAAGACCAAATAACCGTTCATAGTTAATTTTGGTATGCTGATTACAAATCTAGAATTAAATTCGTTCTTTGCTGATAAGATTTTGCGCAAAATACAGATGAGGCACTGCTGCTATTCCACAACATTTTTATTCGTGTTCAACGTATCTGTTTGAAACAGCAGCTATGATGGGAATTTAACTGCGATGCGGTGACTATCGTAATGTGCATGAGAAATTGGTCATGACTCATGAGATCATGGCATACCCTATCCTACAAATTAGGTTCATTGCTCTTACATTAGTTGCTTTATCCACAACGAGCATAGTCAGGAATGATCTTTCAGAGAGATTTGAAATCAGAAAAACTGAAAACTCAAGTAGAAATTGCACGAGAGGCCACTACATCGAGTCATGTAATGGAGTACGGTAATATGTCAATCGGCAACTTATCTGCTGCTAACTTCGAAGGATCGAAACCAGTATTCGCCGATTCACTTCAACCAAGAAAGGTAGTACAACCAGGAGCTATCGCTCTCACGATTTTTTTTTCGAATTTATTAAGTTCAAAAAGAGTTTACAAGTCCGAAGTGAATAACAATTCTTTTGATGAAAAGAAATGCGTGAATAAATGGAGTGTAATGTATTCAAGGAAGCGAATATGTTCAACAAATGAATATTTGATTGCTATTCTTTGAAGTTAAGGAGAGATGAAGTGAGATGAAAAGATAATTTCTATCCAGTTGAACAAGCAACTGCTACGTTAATTAGCATCGATTAACGACACATTTGAATAGTTTTTTGAGGCATTCAGCCGCTGTGCAACATCAGTACTTTTCAAGTATCTGTAAAATCATTACAGACCATAATCTCCTCGATTATGCCAGTCCGTGAAATTCCATTTATAACCCTTAAAAGGAAACTGAGAACGCTTCGAAAGTCACATGAAAGATCTGCTCTCAGGCATCAAATAAAAATCATGTTAATGGTTAGTTAATGGATCTTATTTATCACTAGCGTTCTTCTTAAAATCACACAACCCAGTACGCGGATAAGTCTTTTTTGTTTGAAAAAAATTGCTGAACCGATCAGAATGTTCCAGCAGAATTACTGATCGCAAGAAGTGAACAATCCACACGGTCTGAATGGATTCTTTATGAATTCCAAAAGAATAACTCGTCTCTAAACCGTGCTCTCAAACTTGTTTTCAATTTTAAGTAATTCACTGCGTTGAAATTGTTCATATTGCCTTCAGTAATATCTGTATCAGATACCTCTGCTTAGTAATCGAAGAATCACACTCAGTTGATATTTCATCAATTGAAGAGGCGGACTTATTCGAGGGAATTTAGTCTCTTATTCTGCGATTTTAGCCAGTGACTGTTGGAGGCACTATGAGATATGAAATTACACCATAATAACCATCAGTATGCGAATTAAGTAATTTCTGATTCTAGAAACGAACATACTTAAAAACGTTCTTCACCAAACTTGTGTCTACACTTGTGGGGGATCGATCGGCACAGAAGCGTTTACTGAATGAATATCCAGTGTCGATAACGAATTTGCAT